GGATTTTGTGTGCGTTCTCTTCACAAGCACTGTATCAACTCGAGATCAACCTATCTCGCTCAATTTTTTGGAGTTAGGAAGCTTCACTGATACTCAGAGTGCGGCTAGATGTCTCTCTATCGATTGATGTATGGGAACTCTTGCTTGCAACGCCTAGTGTCAGCGACTTATCTTAATCGCGTTCGATGGCTTCTGCTCGTTGTGATGAGACGGATCGAAATCCTCCTTTGCGCGATGCACGACGTAATTGACGATAACTCACTGGATAAGAGGACTTACGCGATTGTGACAGTAGCGAATCCGTGTGGAATCTTCCGCTTTATCAGCCTGGTGTACGTTAGATCTTTCCAGTTCCGGCCGGAAACTGTGGTCGATCTGTACGTGTTAGGTGTGACTGAAGATGGGATTTTCTTCCGCGCCGACCTCTTTGCTGTTAGAGGCTTTTCGTGCTCTGATAGTGTGGCTAGAGTCTGATTCTTAGCACCTCTTCTCTGTTGCAGGTGGTTAAATCATACACTTTGACTATACATTGGACTTGGTATCAACTTTGACTTACTGTCTCGGGACGGTTGACTCTTCGAATCGAGAAGGACTTTTGCTTTTAGTGTTAGCTAGTAATACTTCAGCTTATTGGGGAGGTAAATTGTTTTGGATTAAGCTGAAAAGCAAAAGTGAGGATTTTCTGTGTGGTGCATACGAAAATTCTTGTGATTGAATTGGAATAAGGACCCCGCAACAATTAGACCTAAAACTACCTCTGTTCCTTTCATGATCAATTTACATGTCTACGCTTACTATATGTTTAATACACGAGTCAATAGTAAAAGGTGGTCAGGTATGTTTCCTCCAAACAGGAGCCGCCGATCGGCTACTACTATGACTGCCTACTAGTACTATTACGGGTAAGTCTATTATCACGTATTTATTATGAAGGACATCACTGAACTTCTCTCCCTTATTGTATTCCTATCGTAAACAGCGAGTGTCCACATCCAGTGCTTGGCCGACAACAATGGTGAGCTACCGGCAGGAGAGTTCTTTATTCAAGTTCGATCGATCGATGATCGAAGATCGCAATGGGGTAGCCTATTATCAAGAGTGTTAATTGAGGTACAGCACTGACTTTTCTCCCTCATTGAGATTTCAATGGTAAACAGGAGAGAATACCGAGCCTCGGCCGTCAACAGGTGGTGAGTTGTTTTAATTATTCAAATCAGATCGATCGCACCTCTGTTAATCCCAAGCCTCACTCAAGCCTGCTGTCTCTGGTGCAGAAGCGAAAGCCATCCCTCATTGAACTCATTATGGACATGGTAGTGGCGTCAGTTCTCAGCCATGATGGCCCAGTTGGTGCAATTTTAAAACAATGGTAAGTCTCGGTCGTCTGCGTTGAGCACAGAAAACAAAACAATTCATATCTATTTGTTGTTTTCTCTGCTGTACTGCTGACGCGAGGAAATACCATTGTCGAGTCGTTTTCGAACAAACGATCAATCGCACCACTACGGAGGAGACTGTTAATCAAGCCCTATCACCAGCCTGAACGGAGGAGATCGTGTAAGTCATTGAAAAGGGAACAGAAGCAAGCGACAACACACAAGAGAGTGGATCATACTACCGGTACTCGATTCATCTCTCCAGTGTTATTTCTAGTGATTTGGTGGTGATCCTGTGTCGGACCCACGTTTCACGGTCGTATGCAATTGGTAACCTGAGTCGACGACGACTTGTTTTGTCGAGTAGTAGAAATAGCTAGCTAGTAAGATAATAGAACGCCGATTACCAACCAAATAGACCATTCCTTTCATTAGATAGACATCTTATAGATCTATAGCAGAGCTCGGTCCAGGTTTGTTTCTCCCTTGCGTCCTACACCTCTACTGCTGCAGTCGCCCATTTCGTACTCCAGTTGGTATTCCTATAAGGCCTACCAGGTCAGGCAATTACAGGGCACTGCACTGTGTCTGTTGTGATCAGTAATTCCTTGCTTCAATTGCAACAATTCCTCTTTGATTGTAGCGGAAGAGACGAAGAGACAAAGAGACAAGAGACAAGTCATGACGCCATGACCTGGGTGGTGTGTGTAAAAATGTCTAAATGGCATCAAACCAGTTTCCTTTCCTTCCAGTCACATCTTCCTTTGAGCTTATAATACCGGTAGCTAGCTAGTAACTTAGCTAGCTGAGATCTCCTTGGAGCCTCACGCACTTTCCGCACCATCTGCTCGGTTATGAACCTGCTGGCTAGTAGATCTAGACTAGTAGAGAGCAGCAGAACTACAGGCCCGCCCATTTGTATTTATTTGGTAGAGTTTGGATCTGGTTGGGCTTCTTTCTTTCTACTAGGCGCTACCGTAGCGAGCAATCCTCCTCTTCCTCCTCAAGCTCCTGCGGAATAATCTCTCTTGGCGGCCGGGGGGAGGCGATGGCTGGATGGATGCCTTTGTTGAATTGCTTTTCAACGGCGGAGGTTGGTTTGTCAAACCTCAACACAGGACCTCTGTGGAAATTCGAGTCGTGCTACCGATCGTCTCCTAAATCCTTTTGATCGTCTCCTATTTAGTAATGGATTAAGAGCCTTCTAGACTAGCTAGGTCGTCTCCGCGCAACACAAGCTGGAACATTATGGATGCTCTCTACTTAATGCGTTAATGTTACAACAGAAAAAGTGTATAAATAATATAATCGCAGCTGAATAAAGAGAGTGCCCCCCCCCCCTCGTCTGTTTATTAGTCAAGAATTTTGTTGCTCACAATGTGAGCATGAGCATGTGTATATAATATTCATTGCTGTATATTTATATATGGTTTGTGGTCTGTCTTTGTCCGGTTTCTCTGCAGGGAATTGCTCGAGGTGGGATGGCCAGCTCGGAGGCCCTTAAGTGTCACTTCGGATGTGAATTCGAAAACAAAATAATTAGGGGCCTTTTTCTGTAGGGAATAATGGGCTCGATCTATTTCTCTGTAGATCCCTCTTTCAGAGATTTTTTCTCTGTAGGACGGTTCTACAGAGACCACTAAGCCCAAATCTCAGGGATCTCCCGCCACAGTGCAATTGACACAGACTTGAAGGAGGCCAATGCGAGTCACATTGAGCTTACTCCAAACTTCCTAGCGGATATTCAGTTACTCAAAGGCAAAACAGTGTTCATAGAGATCCCTCTGGACCAAAACGGGATATTTGAGAGGCACCACAAAAATGCTCGAGATTTGGATGGTCAGCTAACTTACACCAAATACGGCAATGCAGTTGTCGGTCCCATGTCACTCTCGCGTGAGGCCGGATGCATCACCCATGTTGAGGGGAACCGACACCTCCGAGTGATGATCATACTGGTACCAAAGACACTGACTCTTTTGATCCCAGTGAGATGCTCGGGGAGTCTGGTCTTTTGCAAAGCAGTATGGCACGTATCTATACCCCCACTTCCACTATGATTCCTTCTTCAATTCACAGGATAAGGACCTCCACCAGAACATTGAACGATACATCCGGCTCATCCACCCCCATGATTACACCAAACTGCAAGAAAAGGAAGAAGGGGCTGATGATGAGGAAGAAAAAGACAATGAGGATAAGGTAGAGGAGGAGGGAAAGAAGGAGTCCGAGGATTCCAATTTCGATGACACTGACGGGAGCCACGATGGTCTTGATGATAAGAAGAAGCCCCCCAAGAAAAGGGTTGATGCAGAGGAGACTGACGCAAGCAAAAATGGTGTTGGTGATGAGAAGGAGCCCACAGAGAAAAAGTTTGAAGCAAATACTGTGGAACTGTGTACCATAACGATGGAGATGCCACTGCGACAGTTTTACACACCAGACTTCCAGAATATCTGTAAGTGCCTCCCCTGATGAGACTCCAAAAACCTAAAATGACAAAAGAGAGAGAGAGAGAGAGAGAGAGAGAGAGTTCGAAAGAGAGAGAGAGAGAGAGAGAGAGAGATAAAAAGAGAGAGAGATACTACGTGGACCTCATGCAGCTCTAGCTCCAAACCAAAAGAAAAAAGAAAAGAGAACTAACATGGTTTTTGTCTACTTATACTACTATGAACTCTTCTACTCATTGTTAGGTCTCCCTTCACATAAACTTCATGGTGAACTCCATTTCATCGTCATCGGATGAGCAGGACGACAGACTTTCTGCTTTATTGTTGCCTTCCTTAGCCTCCAGTTTATTATTGACACTTCCAATAGAGACTATGTTTGCTTTTGTGGCAGGAGGAGCAGTTTGTTCTCTGACCACCTTTACCGTCTCAGATTGTTTCGGGAAAACAGGACGGTACAGCTCTTCGTCGCCCTCCTCATCCGAGGAATCCAAGACAATTTCATATACTTCGTCCTCTCTCTGTATTCTCCCTCCTCTCTCATCTGATTCTGACTCATCGTCGCTACTATGGTGGCTGCTGTCATCTTTGCACGACAGTTTCTTATTACCATACAAGTCGACTTTCAACTCCTCCAAGTCCCCACCAACAGTTTCATCTTCATCACTTGATTCCATGTTAGCTTCATCGTCAAGGGTCCTCTTCCCATATACATCTACTTTCAGTTCCGAGGTTGAAACAATGCAAACTGGGATGAGATCCTTGATGCGGTACCTTTTCATGAAAAGCCTGCAGTGTTCCTTCTGAAGCATCTTTGCCACAGCCTTCTTTGTGAAATTGATAGTTCTCTTGTCAGCAATCAAGTGCTTGTGGCAGCTATCACGAATCTCCTGGTCCCAAGCAGTGGCAAGGCATGGTTTGAGGTGACAGATGTCACAGTGGCGAGCTATCATGCCATCATCCTTGTCCTCCTTGCTCTGTCCATAGCCCGGCGGCCTGTACACTATCTTGCCCTCGCTAGGCTCGTACTCGGATGACTCTCTTGGGTATCCTTCCACTGTGAAGTTCAGCTTGATTGTTTGCTCTCCGCTGCTCCGCTGCTAGACTCCTTCCTCTTCCCTTGTCTGTGCTTGACAGTCCTTGATCTTTGACCACCTGCTGCAGTCCTCTTCTCATCAGTCTTCTTCACTTGACAC